TATTTAAATGATTTAAATTTAGCTAAGGCTATTTTATTTAGATATAACACTATTTTGTAGAGCCCACAAGTGGACATGTCATTTGTAAAGCTTTATGTCTTTCTGTTGAATTCATATTTTGTATCTCCAAAATAAATAAGGAAAAAAAATGTTTAATGCACAAACACAACTTTTAAACCGAAAGTTACCTGATGCTGTGTCTTTAATATGGTGTACAGATTATTTTGCGTTATTGAAACATCAAGGAGGATGCAGCCCTTATAACCAAAACTGCTTTATTATTTTTTGCAACAGACTTACATTTAAAAGGGAACATAAGGGCAATCATAAGCATAAAGACCCCTAGCCTATAAAGTGTTTTATGGAATAGCCTATCTTAAACTGACCAGCTCACCCTGGCATGCTCGCTTTGCATCATTATGTTTCAGTCTTAAAGCTAACTATTTAGTGGGTCTTTCTGCATTAACATAATAATTTTGTTTAGTGGAATGGATCAGAAATCTTGCCTTTCTTAATAAAAGTGCCTTACAATCAGATTTTAAGATTCCTAAAATCTTTTGTTCTAAAAAAGTTTCCTTTAATTGTTTTTAATTATTTCAATTTGGTTTTCCAAACAATTTAATTCTTAAGTTAAGGTTTATTTTCATAGAAGGCAAATGGTATACAGTTCCCTCTCTAGTAGTTTCCCATAAAATCTATGGATTAACAGCAGAGCTGAGAGAAACATGGTCAAACTATACTGAAATGGTTTAATAAAACCATCTTTCAATAGCAGAGTTGTATTAAAGCGCCACCTTTTTGTCCTTTGAGATCTCATAGGGGGAGACAAATTACTGCCGAATGGTCTGATAAAAGCATAGGAAGAATACTTATGTTTTTTATACTTTGAATAAAATATTTATATAATAATATAATAATATTAGATTTTAATGTATTCCTAAAAATTGTATTGTGTCAGGAAGAATAAAAGGTATAGTCCCTACAATTTTCATTCTTTATTCTCCAGATATCACAGAGGTCATTATCATTCAATGCCTGTGAAGCCTGGTCATTATATACTGAGAAAAGAGACTTATCAATAGAAGGATTGATGACTGTATTAGCATCCATACCCACCAGCAGATTGTAGTTACAAAAACTGAGGGGGAGTTTGGTAAGAGAAGGAAAAAAAATCTAACTCAAATTTATTTGGGGCTTAGATTGAAACAAAAACTATTTTTGGAATTTCATGATTCCGAAACTGAAACGTACGTAATCCACCCATGTTCATCACTAAAGAAAAAAATATTTTTTTTAATTTCATGATTCTGAAACGTATGTAGTCCACCCATGTTCATCATCCCCTGATTTCTCTCTTTTGAAAATGAAAAGGCGGCTAACATTTTAAAATGCCTATTTTGACAACAAGTCACCTCTGAGGTCCTAAAATGGGATTCTTATATATGAGCTATATCTATATAGATATAGTGTCCTGCTTATTCAAATGTACATCAGTATTGAAAGCTCAAATTTCCACTTGAAATATGTAAGCACCCTTCCTATGAGGTTGAATTTAATCATCAGTGGTTTGCACCGTTAGATCACATCCCATCGAAATGTCAGCATCTAGCGATGTGACGAACCTCTCCAGGTCTGTGGGTGTCTGGTCACAACGCGACTGGTCACTTTAACCATCACTGGGTATAACAAGAACGACTCAATGCCCAACTGTTGGATGCATTTCCTATTTTCTGGCATAATTTTCCGTTTGTGAGATGTGCCCTTGCTGTAATCTGGGAAGAACCACAACAAGAATTTCTGACTTTCTTCAGGATTGCTTGCCTGTTGTTGTAATGGAGTAGCTTAAAAATCTGAGTGCTCGGTTTCTTACTGGATGTATCTTCATTTGCATACAGGTGATGTAATCATTCAATTTCAATCATCTTACCTTGTAAGGCAGGCAACCACTTAGGAATCTGGGTCTGCAGAAACTTAATTGCATTACTGCTTTTCGCTCCTTCAGGTAAGCCCACCAACCTTAGATGATTTTGTCCGACCTTGTCTTCATAAAACCATAGATTCTCCTGCAGCTAACGTGGCATGTTGGTGATCGAATCCATTTTATTTTGTGCACTGTGGTTTGCATATAGTCCAGTCTGTCGCCGATCACTCTGACATCTTTTTCCAGGTAGTTAAGACATCTAGATATCATTGAAATTTCCTCCCAAATGATTGCAGACATGCTAAATTTTATGGCAGTCAGTTGTTTTTCGGCATGGCGTCATTGAAGGCGTTCATCATCTTTAAAGGGCACCTAGGTTACCCCTTTTTTCAGATTTAATATAAGTCTTTTGCGTCTCTAGAATGTGTATATAAAGTTTCAGATCAAAATACCCATCAGTTTTTTCATTATACCTTTTACAAGATGCTGTTTTATACTGATTTCCAGCAGGGGGTGGTTTTGTCATACTGCGCCTTTAAGACGATTCTTTCCCGCCCACTGTTTCTACATGCCTCCTCCCTCAGCTGCGTCAGACAACAGACAGACTTAAAGGAAGGTCTCACGTAGCGTTTTTGAGATACTACAGTAAGAACTAACCTTTACTAATCAGTATTGTGAAGTTGCATTGATGAGTCACACACAATATCGTTACAAAGTTAACGCGCGCGCGCACACACGCACACACACACACACACACACACCACAGATGACACACACACACACACACACACACAGGCAGGCAGACAGGCTAACCTCAAGTACTGTGTGGATATCTGTTATGCTAATGTACAAAATAAACCTGATTTAACTTCCACAAACCGGGATTGAAGCGTCTTCTTTTATAATTGTTCTGACACGCGGCTGTGCTGATGAAGTAAAGCTGAAGTAAAACGCTGTAATTAATTACACACATACTCTGTTTTAAAACACTTTAAACATGTGAAACTTACTCTTAGTCACATTTGATGATGATTGCTGTCCAGATCTGTCCAAACAGCTTGAAAAGTAGATTTTTTACTATAGGTGCCCTTTAAATCATTTTTTAGAGGGAGAGTTGGGTTGTTCTTGTTTGGATGTCATCTCTTACATCTTTTAACAAAAACAAATGCTTAAAGCTTCAACTTAAATCTTTGTCAAATTATTTTCAAACCAAAAGGACATCTGAAGCGGAGTGCCAAATCACTAAGCAGCCATCACCATTCATTGCGCATGCGCATCTCCCACACTTAACAATTTCTCAATCCAACTGAAATCATCTATTAGCTCATGTAATTCATTAAGCAGCAGGCACGTGCACACATAGGGCTCAATCTGTGCAGTGCATAGGCCCTTTTTAGTCTTGGATAGAAAGTGCCCTTTCAAAATGAGCTGAAGTGCTCATTTTAAATTTTTGTCAAATTATATATGTCTATATATATATATATATATATATATATATATATATATATATATATATATATATATATATATATATATATATATATATTTATTTATTTATATATATATATATATATATATATATATATATATATATATATTTATATTTATTTATATATATATATATATATATATATATATAGCATATTCCTTACAAAATTGTTTCATGTTATTTAATTTTCAACAGATTTTAGCACAAGAAGATTTGAAGACACAATGTGAATGTTTTTTATACTACTAGTTTTATGTAACATTATATAATATGAAAAAATACTGTACAAAAGGAGAGGAAAATATTTTCACTATTAAGCAGTTTTTTTCTCCATTAGGTTAGTTTGTTTGCCCATGATATGTTGTCTTGCATAAAAGGTTGCTAACTTATTACAATGCTGCTCATAATTTTGGACTTTAGCAAGAAAAATTACAATATTTGATTTAGATTTTTTAGATCAGGATAATCAGGATTTTTTAGATGTTTCTGGAGAGCCACTTCCTGCAGGTTTCAGTTGCAACCCATATTAAACACACCTGCCTGTAATAATCACGTGGTGTTCAGGTCCTGATTAATTGGTTTAGGTGTGTTTGATATGGGTTGCTAGCAACTGAAATCTGCAGGAATGTGGCTCTCCAGGAATAGGGTTGGCCACCCCTGTTTTAGATAATTTGCCATAAACTTGAGCCACACGAAGCTTAGTTGTTTGTTAATTACTCACCTTCACAATTTTAAGACCAATGAAGGATGAATTTACTTCGGCTCTGCAATTTATAGTACATATAGTGCGTTCCAATAGTGGAGGTCAGCTAGTTGGTGCTATCCAGGTAAACTTCATTCTACTGTTCACTGTAGACAATATTAATAACATGCCTGATGTTTTTTGACAGAGAAATCTGTCTGCAACAGAACATGCATACAAATAAATTAACCCCTCAAACAAACACTTTTCTCTATCTAGGAAGAAATTGGGTAGGGGCTCAAGCCCCTAAACTCCCCTCACAAGTAATGCCCCACCTCTTCCTCTGCATGCTCATGTTGCAAGGTACACATTGTAAGTTACTTCATGCATTCATTTTCTTTTCGGTTAGTCCCTTTATTAATCCGGGGTCGCCACAGAGAAATGAACTGCCAACTTATCCAGCACATTTCATGCAGCGGATGCCCATCCAGCCACAACCCATCTCTGGAAAACATTCACACATACATTCACACTCATACACTAAGGACAATTTAGCCAACCCAATTCACCTGTACCACATGTCTTTGGACTAGTGGAAACCGGAGCACCCGGAGGAAACCCACGCAAACGCAGGGAGAACATGCAAACTCCACACAGAAACGCCAACTGACCCAGCTGAGGCTCGAACCAGCGACCTTTTTGCTGTGAGGCAACAGCACTACCTACTGCGTCACTGCATAGCCTGTAAGTTACTTATACCTTAAAAATCTGTATGTTAAGATTTATTCAGTTATTCACAAAAAAAAGTGTATTTAAATATTTTTATAGACAAAGTTGTGGCATAAAACTGATAAGGCTGTGCTAGTGGTGCAAATCAGAGAAAAAAACGTAAGGCCATTGAAGCTCACCTGCTTCCACTCGTCATTGCTGGTGTCGGTGAATTCAGATGACTCCGGTTCAGATTCAGTGGACTGGGTAGATCTCAGGATGTGCTGAGACTTGCTGAAGCTGGACAGGCTGAACTCTGCCTGTCTACGGCGAACCTCGAGCTCCTCCTCAACCGTCCGAGCAACAGTTCTGGAGAAGTCTTGAAGAGAGCGCCTCTGGAAACTATCCCGAGCCCCAAACTGTGAGGGAAATGTCAGAGAGCCCCTTCTGTTTTGACAGATTACCACCTTGCCAAAATGCTCTGAATCTGCATAAAAATTACTGCATGATGGAGTTGTCTTCCTAGGAGGCCTCAGTGCAGACACGTACTAGAGAAAAACAACGTTCATCAGTTTAGGCAACACTCTCCAGTAAAGAAAAATAGTTAATGGTTATCACTACACTTTCTTGATTGATTACAATAATTGCAAACACTTTTTTGCAATACAAATTCTCTGAAAGGCTTTTTAAATATGCAAATGAGGAATTCTTCCAAATGAGGAATGACAGATTAACAATTTACAAATTTAATGATGGAACTAAAAAGGTAATTTCACTGAGGGATATTTGGGAATCGCTGTTTATCAATCAATAATTCAGAAAATACTGTCAACAGCCATTCTATGTAAATTAAAACATTGATAATCAGGGACATTTTGTGTCAATATATCCTTTAGGTAAAAACCTTAAGCTTACAAATATGAATCAAACTGTAAATTTTAGATTTATGAAAGTGGAGTAGCTCAGAGCGTGAGGAAAAAATAGAGAATCAAAATGTATTGTAAATAAATTTCATAGACACTGCTGTAAATAAACTGTTGCAATAGCACATTTAATGTGTATTTATATTAGACTGAAAATAAATCCATAAATCACAAAATCTCAATCTGCAATTATTGATGTAGTCTGGTTGTTTGACTTACTCTATGTCGGTCAACTCGAGCTATGAGAGCAAGGTTTGTGCTGTCTGAGATTCCTCCATGGACTATAAGCACCCGCTGATCGATCACTGTCACTAAAGGCAGCCAGCTGAAGATCTTCTGCAGCAGCTTCAGAATACGCTTTCCATGCAGCTACAAGTAGATAAGAAATGTCAGATCTCAGATTCAAGGAAAAATGCATCAAATGTATTGCTTTATATTGTGAATCTCAGAGAAGTACGGCCAAAAGAGAATAACACATTACTGATGATGTTAAAGCAACAGAAACATGAGCTTCATCATACATTTGACTGCAGTTATACAGATACAAAGTAACTGCATGATAGAAACAAAGGATAAATTGGAAAACTTTTAAATTAGTTTTTAAAAGTTTTCAAATTTCATCCTAGACTAAATTTGGTTAAGAGAACGAGTTACAAATTAACTTTTGTAAATTTATTGCCTTTATATATATATACATACATACATACATTTATATTTACATACATACATACATACATACATACATACATATATACACACATATATACACACACACACACACAAACAAACACATTTTTGCCACCACGTTTTGTTCATTTACAAGCTACTAGATATTGATAGCCACCAATGAGGGAGGAAAAGAATGTAGCCTTCTGGCTGTAATCCTCTTAACACGGACTGTGAAAATAACTGACCAGAGTTTCCCCTTTTAAACTGTAAGTCTGAATTAAACAGCCATATGGTAAACAAACAGGAATTACTGAGCATGGGCAATAATCATGTAATTAATTACTTACCTTGTATTTCCCCAGCACTTCTTTGGTGAAGCCATACCTTTGAACAGAAATAACCGTTTATAGAAAATCTGGGGAACTGATTAATTAGTACACACAAAATTTGTACATCCAAATTTACATGTTAAGGAAAAACATTAAACAAAACATTTTAAATGATTACAGTTCAAGAGAAGCAAAAAATTATAAAACTTTGTTGAAATTTTGGCGTTTGTAATTTCCCCCCAATATTTTGCATAATTTTAAATGCGTTATCTTTCTATTTCTAAAGATGTTCAGTGATTAAAATATAATTTTAATAAATATATATAAGGCAGGTTCTGTGTATGTAAAATTGTCACAATATGATCAACACACAACAGATAATGACAGCAGTGAGAATATAAGAATATAGCCAAAGGTAAATGATCTGATAATACTAATAATTCTTACTTATAGCCCTTTTAAGCTATTTATATCAATTTGGTAACTTTATATGTACGATGTTGTGGTGCTGCATAAAACTTGTGATACATGTTTTAAGAGGCACTTAAATATTGAAACTGAAATCAAGTGCCATTACCTCAGATTAATAATATGGTCTTCATGGTTTCCTCTATTAAGATAAACATCACCAGGATACACAAGCAGAAATGCAAATAATATCAGCAGAACCTCCATGGAGTCTTTCCCTCGGTCCACATAGTCTCCATTGAAAACATAGGGTTTTTCCATTGATGGCATTCCATTCTGGACAAATTAGAATAGATATACTTAACCATTGTGTGCTGTTGGGGTTATTTTTATCCACACTGAGGTGATTCTGAGTCTTTATTTGGCCACAACTTTCTCTATGTTTCAGCAAATGGCATGATTTTTGGCGACAAATCTTATGTTGAGACATATGTTGGGAAAAGGCTTTGGAAATTAAAAAAAAAAAAAAAACACAAAAATACACTACAAATTTACTACCCTTTTGATTTGTTAGTGTCTGTTTTTGTTATTATAACAACATTTTTTGATTGCAGAGCCATGACACCATATAATCATGCGTCATTGATTGTTGTTGAATATTTGTTGTCGATCATTAGTTGCAGCTTAGTTTCTTAGTTTTTATTGTGTGTGCACCCATGTGTCAGTGTACAAATGTGTGTGTTTATCTGTGAGAGCCCATTGTGTCCAAAATAAGCTCCTCAGCTTTTAGAACATAGTACATATAGTAAGTGTATTAGTTCATGCACACAATAATGTAAAATTTACCCCAAATAAGTTATGCCATCTGTTGATCAACAGTAAAAATGACCTCTTCCCAACAGGGAAAACCACCAATAATGAAGAATGCATGGTTATATGGTGTTATAGCTTTGCAATAAAAAAGGTTATAATAGCAGTCAATGGGACAAAAACCAACAAAACAAAAGGGTGGTAAATTTGCCCAGAGTGTGTTTTTAATTTTGTATTTTTTTTTTTTAATTTTCAAAGCATTTTCCAAAAATATATGTCAAAATAAGATTTGATGCCAAAAATCATCATTAAAGATTTTGCGTAAGCTAACATAATCAAAAAGCGGATTATGCTAGAATTGAAATGCCTACCTTGTAAAATATTAGCAGTAAGTCCTCTAACTGTCCATGTAAATCACCTGTAACAAAGGTCACAATTTACTTAACAGGGGCAATAAATAGTGTCAAAATAGAAAAAAATAAAGGCATGTGGTGTCAGGCACTCTCACCACAAATGGTTATCTCTTTGCTATGGCATGTAGACACTCGGTTAATATTTGGCAACACTCTGAGTAACTTCCACGTTTCTAGAAGAAGCTGAAGAACGTAACGAGAGTGAAGCTGCTGCTTGGAAAAAAAATAAAAGAAGTGTACATAATTAGAGAAAAAGTCTTGAAATAATAAAGCATAAGTTTCTTAATGATACCATTAAAGAGCCCCTATTACAGGTTTTTGAAAATTACCTTTCATGCAATGTGTAACAGCTCTAAGTGAATGAAAACACCCAGCTCAGGGTTAAATCTAAAGTTCCGCTGTGTTTAAAACCATTGATTCTAAAAGAAAAGAGTCTACTCATTATGTGTTCAAATTTTTTGCCTGTTCATATGGACCAATCTTGTTCTGCCAATCATGCGCTGTGTTTGTTTCTGACAAATGATTGATACAATAACCTACCCTGCAACACAGGATTCAAGGCCTTTTTCTGTTAAAAGAACGATCAGCATTGTATGGGACATTTTTCAGTAATTGTTACACAGTTTATATGGACCAGTTTCTGTACTCTGGCTACTTTATAACCTTGGTGGGCAATTCTTTCTGTCTCGTGCTGAATGCAGTCAACCAATCACAACAGACTGGGTTACTGGACCAATCACCATAGATTACATCATGTAAAGGAGGGGTTTGGATCAAATGAATTGCTAAATAAATCATATGGAAGTCATTGGGATAATTATGTAAAAATAAACCTTTTATAAAAATGTTAAAAAATATTACCTTTTATAAAGCATAAAAGGGGTTCTTTAAGAACACATTTTGAATTACTTTGATAACCACTTCTTAATTTTAAAAGAAAAAAAAATCACTTTAATAAACTTTTTGTAATTTTAACGATACTTCATGGAACCAAAGGTGCCAATAAAGAACCATTGTTTCCTAAATACCTAAAACATTTATTTTATGCATCCTCATGGAGCACCTACTTGTTTGTTTTTGAAGGCTTCTACAAGATCAGCAGCCTGGTCCATATCTAAAGGAAAGGTCAGCCGTGGGCCAGAGTAAATGTCTGGCACATCAATATTGGTGTAGTTGAAGTATCTCTCCCACTCTGCATCTCTGCAAACTTCGTTTTCTCGGAAGATATGTGAGATAAGGTTTCCTGCATGAAAGAACATACAAGATGTTTTTAGCATGGTTTATTTGAGTGCAAATATGTACTGTATAGGTAGTTTGTGTTGCAACAGCTTGTTTTACGTTCACTGCTTGAAGGAGTAAAGTTATCCACCAGGTAACCAAGAAAATTGTATAACTGCAAAGAAGTGAACAAAAAATGTCATATCATTATAATTGCAGTCACAGATTTATTTGAAATTGAGTTGTCCATCCATTCATTCTTCAAACCACTCACCCATTCTTTCTTCCATCTATCAATCCATCCACAGACTTTTTAATCTCTCCATCCATCTATATTTCCATTTTCTATCCATTCACATTTTGACCTTTTTTTAACCATCTGTCCTTCTTTTTTCATCCATCCATTTATATTTCCTTCCATACACTATCTTCATCCATCCATCCATTCATCCATCCATCCTTCCATTCATCTATCCAACCATTCCGCCAATCATACCTGCCTTCAAATTGGGTTTAAGGTAAACAATTTCTTACTTTGATCTGGTCTTGTAGGTCTGCATACTCCATGGACTGGAAGATGTTCCAAGTGTATCTTCGTCTCATTTCCATGCGAGCCACATACTGTTTGTGCCAGCGCTGGATCAGCACTGCAGCTTTTATTGCTTACAAGAAAACACTATATTTAAATCAATGTATATGTGATTGATTACAAATTTACAATTTTCATATAAGACTTCTGGAACCGCACCATATTCAGCATCATTTAAGGGATTACTATGTAGGATTTAAATCAAACCTTGCTTATCAACTCATACATATACAGCTATATCACTGGATGTTCAAAACAATATATATATAACTTGCATATATACATAAACTCGATCCTTGCATATACACCCACTACAATACACGCACATACATATAAACTCAGTGCATGCAAACACACCCACACACACTGGCATACACATATAAACTCGATCATCGCATGAACATCCACATTAACACATGTACATACATAAACACGCTGCATGCAAACACACCTATACTCGCATATAGCCTCAATGCCTAAACTCTAAAACTATAAACACTCTTGCAAACATACAAAATAAAATTCACAAACATATGTACAATTTATAACTTTATCAGGTTATTGAAAATCTTATCAAATAAAATGTGATCAACAGAAGTATTACTTCTGTTAAATAATGAAAATATAATATGTATAATAATATTAAATATTATATAAATAGACTATAAAATATGTAAGAAAGATTTTTATGTTAAGCCTTCTGATTACTTAGGCAACTACATAAACAAATATAAATGGACAGATACAGATGTCCAATATCTACAATTTCAAGGCTGTTTTAAAGATTTATTTTAAAACCCTTAAAGGACAAACAGCAACAAAATTTGAACTTGCCACCAGAACAAATTTTGCAATAGAAGTAGCCTAGACCCCAATTTTTTACTATTATTACAATTATTATTATTCTTCTATGATTATTTAAAATATATATTGATGTTAAATGTAAAAGTTTGTTATTGTTTTGATTGTTAAATGTGCAGCATATAAAATAAAAAGTCAGATAAAAAGTTTCTGTTCATCATGTTGGTCAAGCTAACTCACACGAACAAGTTCTGAATCTCTGGACACTGCTTCTTTTCTGTTTAATAACTACTTCTTTGCAATAACTACAGCATTTTTGGTGAGAGGCAAACCCACTTAAACAGTACATTCCCCTACTAGACATAAGAATTGTAACCTGTGACAAATAGTAACACCAATGAAAAAACATATAAAATTCATTCATTCATTTTCCTTCAGCTTAGTCCCTTTATTTAGCAGGGGTCACGACAGCGGAATGAGTTCCCAACTTATCCAGCTTATGTTTTATGCAGCGGATGCCCTTCCAGCTGCAACCCACTACTGAGAAACACCTATACACTCTCATATACACACACACACCACTGCTAATTTAGCTTGTTTAATTCACCTCTTTCGCATATCTTTGGACTAAGGGGGAAACTGGAGGACCCAGAGGAAACCCATGTGAACACGGGGAGAACATGCAAACTCTGCGTAGAAACGCCAATTGGCCCAGCCAAGGTTTGGACCAGCGACCTTTTTGCTTTCACCCTCAAATGACTTTTATGCTAAAACTATTTCCATTTAAACAGAAAGAACTTCCTTTTACACTGAAAGTTCATGCACATACATTACATGAAATGACATGAAATAACTTGCAAATATGTATATACACAACAAATTTATATATTTTTATTAACATTATTATTATTTATTAAAAAGTTTATATTCATATGCAAAAGTTTATATGCAGATCAAGTTTATATTTATATGCGAAGGTGTACAAATGTGTTTTTGCTTGCAGCGAGTTTATTTGTATTTGTATATGTATGTGGGTGTATGGATGTATCAAGTTTTTATGTATATTCACAAGTTTTATGTACAGTTGAAGTTGGAATTATTAGCCCCCCTGAATTATTACCCCCCTGTTTATTTTTTTCCCCAATTTCTGTTTAACAGAGTTTTATTTTTTTTCAGAACATTTCTTAACATAATAGTTTAATAACGTATGTCTAATAACTGATTTCTTTTATCTTTGCCTTGATGACAGTAAATAATATTTAACTAGATATGTTTCAATACACTTCTATACAGCTTAAAGTGACATTTAAGGTCTTAACTAATTCGATTAACTAGGCAGGTTATTGTAGTTCTTGGATGTGTGAAAAGTTTGTTTTGATTATATCAAAAAATAAAATTGCGTAAAGGTGCTTCGCTTATGTGTTAATACGAAAGGTTTGATTTAAATCCTAAAGGCACCTCATAGATTACTATTTATATTCAATACTGCAATTGTTAAATATGTAGTTTACACCTCAAAAATGAACAAACAAACCCTTGGTCACTCTTCTTCATTTTAGTCCCTAATTCATTAGGGGTTGCCTTAGTGGATTGAACCACTAACTACTCTGGCATGTGTGTTATATGGCAGATACCCTTTCAGCCACAACCCAGCACTGGGAAACACCCATACCCAAACTTACACTACACACTCAGGTCAATTGTGTTTAGTCAATCCACCTGTACCACATGTTTTGGATCTAACCCTACACAGTAAAATCTTCAGAGTAAAATTTACTTAGTTCAGAGAACATTTGGTCCCTCTCTAAATTGAGTAAAATTTACTCAGCAGCAGAGTTAAAGTTAAAGAGACAATGATGGGGTTAATTAAGTGATGCTTGAGGACTGATGATGAACACCTGCTGTTAATAAGCAGAAACAAGAGAAACACAAAACTACATTACCTTTAGTCACAGCCGTAGATTAAACAAACGGAAATAAAACAAATCAAATCTCTCAAAATCTCAGCAAAGGATCATTAAGTAACTCCACAAACAGCAGATTTACTTATTAACAACCTGTTTGGCCTTATTTCTGCCACACTCTATAAAATTCCATATATTGATAATATTAAGAATTAACTTTTTTTTACAACATTAAAAAAATAAAAATAAAAATTGTGTTTAAGCTGTCACCATTGAGGAGAACAGTAGCTGCTTTACTTGGACTCGGACTCGATTTTTAACATTAGTTTCTCTTTGTTTGCCAAATGGTGTATTGTGGCAAACATTGCATAAAGAGAGCAGCTGTGCTCTGGATAATAGATTCTGTGGTGGTTTAGTCACTGGTCAAATAAGTAGAATTGGATGTGACCTATTAAATTAATATAATGTTGTATCACAAAAGGAGCACTGTATTAAGTGCAGTTAAATGAAGCTCACTAATACTTTTATCAGATCACATTGAACAACTGGAACAATCAAAACCCACCGACATAAAGAATCAGCGTATGCTTGTCAACTATGGTGTTTTTTTTTTCCCTACAGTGCATGCTGGGAACTATGGATAAATCTCGTATGATTGTCTTAACATGCACTGCAGCCAAAAAAATAAAAATCTCTAACCTCTGTTGATATAGATCCGCTGATTATTGATATCTGTGTCTCTAAAGAGATTCAGATGCTCAATGTATTTTAATTTAACACCACACCTGAGATTCATTCTCTTGAAAAACACTGGATTTTGTTTCCACCATCTAAATGTAATTTATTGTACAGTTACTCTCATCAAGAGTAAGAATCCACACAGGATCAATAAACATGATTACATGTGCTCTCTTTATACTTGTGCTCTCTTTATACTTATCATTGCAAGTAAAGAAAACTGACATTACAAATCGAGTCCAAGTAAATCAACCACTTTTCTCCATGATGGTGACATCAGGCAAAAAAAAAACATTTTTTTATTTTTTATTTTTTGGCAAATGTAAATAAGAAAAACGATTAATCCTCAATAAATCTTATATGGACTTTTGTGAACATCTGACAGAAATAAAGTCAATCAGGTAACCCATGAGCGAAGCTGCTGCTGCTTCTTTTGTTTCTGCTTATTAACAGCAGGGGTTCATCATCAGTGCTCAATCATCACTTAATTAACCCCATCATTGTCTCATTAACTTTAACTCTGCTGCTGAGTAAATTTTGCTCAATTTAGAGAGGGACCAAATGTTCTCAGAACTGAGTAAATTTTACTCTGAAGATTTTACTGTGTAACCCTGACCCACACAAGAGAATATACAAACTCCACACAGAAATGCATGAGACTTAAACCAACACTCTTGTTGCTTTGAGGTGACAGTGCTAACCACTGAGCCACTGTGCCGTCTAACTAAATGAACATCATAATGTTATTAAAAGAGGAATTATGCTTACTTCTGGCTGCTGTAGATATGCATTAAAATAGAAGAGAAACAATAAGTCAGTTTATATTGATATTACAGAGTAATTATACAAGCACATATTAAACAAATAATTATTAATCATGTATTAATTCAGTAGCTTTAAGAGATTAAAAAGGTTTTATGCTGGAATGGTAAAATCTCACCTGAGATGACATTTCCATCTGTTTCAAAAATAAGAAGTCATTAAGGCAAGTTATATTTGAGCTAAATAGTTTTTGAATATACAAAACTCTCACATACATCCATGTATTATTTTTAAATCACACCAGAGATACAAATACATGTTAAACATTTTACCTTTGTCATATCTTCTATTAAATTCACTGTTTTTAGTGACACCACATCCCATGGTCTCTCCTGTAAGTAAACATATGTAACAAGTAAATTTAATTCATAATGTAAAACCTTTATGGAACTTTATCAACCCTGAAAAATCAACCAAATTTTGTTATTGAAAAAACAAAGAAAGAAAGAACAAAAAAGCAAACTTTATTTATTAGGGGTCGCCACAGTGGAATGAACTGCCAATTTATCCAGCATATGTTTTGCAAAGCGGATGCCCTTCCAGCTGTAACTCAGTACCATAAAACACCCATACTGTACACTCTCACATGCGACACATACACTACAGCCAGTTTAATTTGTTCAATTGCATGTCTATGGACTGTGGGGGAAACCGGTGCACCCGGAATTAATTCAACATGAACTCAAATAGCAAACTTCTTGCTTACTTACTGAGGCAACAGTGCTAACCACTGAGCTGTGTCGCATGCACAGCAATAAATAGTAAAATAAAATAGTAACTATATTACTTTCTGGTTAAACATACCTGAGTAATCTTTTTTTGTATACACATTATTCATTATTTTTAAATGTTTCAAATATTATTAATCTGCATTCAAATAAACACTAAAATGCACAGTATCAGATAGGTTAGTAACAAAATAGCAGATGAGATGATTATAAAAATCTATTCTTTAATAAATCTTTAACATAAAAGCAGCATATGCTAAATGTCATGTTGTTGCACAAGATAATGAGATTCAGAGCACGACTTAATCTGGGGTTGTTGCTCTCCTGCAATGGCCTCAATCCTTCTTTACTTAGCAATCAACACACCCCTGTGCTTCTGTGAAATGTCAACAATTCATGTCACCATCTGTTGCTTGTCAAAATAGTTAAAGTATACAGTGTGAAAACACTAGAATATGATTATCCTGTGTTTTTATTTCTCATAGAGAATACTCAATTATCAGTGATTATGGACACTGGATTTATTGATTTTTTTTATTTTTCTTTGTCACAATAATTCAGCACAAAAAAGCTCAAATTATGTGTGCTCTGAATTTTGCATACTGGCATGTTGTTCCATTCAAAGGATGCAAGACCTATTTCCCACTCTAAGAGGTAACTTTACATTTTTTTTAAACAGTTTGGTATAATTACCGTAAAAAGGTTGAAACTAGTCTACTAACAATATCAGGTTCATGAAAAATTATTTTAAGGATGCTGTCATGATCTTAGTAAACATTAGTTCCACTGAGAAATAATCTGGAAACTTAGTTCTCTTCAAGGGCATGCTGGATTTAATCAGGTTATATATATGTTCGAAAACCAATTCCTTTCAACCGACAAACATGCAGAGATTAGACACAGTTAGGTAAGAGATCAAGAACTGGTTGCCACGAAAATTAAATCTAATGCCATAAGGGATTTGCAATGAACAATAATATTGCTCCAATGTGAAAATAATTTATAATCTTTATAAATATGATATTATAACATCATTTAACCCATATCAAGCCTGGCTCATTAAGGCCCATTAAGCAACACATTTCAAGCCATTTAGGTCATTAAATTTGTAGTCAAATTGTCAATATATATCCCATTGTTTGAAAGTGCCAGCAAGCCATTTCTCTTCAAAACTAATTTGCCATCAAAGTTTACAAAAGAAATGCCAAATAAAAACTCACCTGATGAGTTTCTCTAATGATCAGAGAAATCCCACAATCTTTAAATACATAATATTCCTCCCAAATGCATGTATTTCCCTGGTGTATTCCATTGGTGCAGCAGTAATTCAGTGCAAATAGTGTGAGTGAATAAAAATTTATACTGAAACGAATGAAAAAAGTTTGTGTTAGGCTCCTCAGGCCATCAGTAAGTGTGTTTTCTTTGTCTTCTTCTTAAAAGTCTGTGCTACTGAATTAAGTAGACACGACCAGAAGAGATTAGTGTAATAGCCTGATGTGACTTGACTGGACTTTGTTGAGGATATGGCACTTTCCAAACGGAAGCAGATGGAGAAGTCTGGGGGATGTTGCTGTGTAATGTCTATGTGACATTTGTAAGCTGTGTAACATTTGTAAAATGAGAAGTTTAAGCTTGTGAAAACAGAAAATAACCCTAATAAAAAATAAATATACTAAAAAAGAAGTACATTTATTTACTGCTAAGTAAACTACAAAAATGTCCATGTATTAAATAGAAATAAACTAAAATTGTACTTATTTAATGCTTTATTCAAATGCACTTTATTCAAAGTGCAAAGAAAGTTTATAGACAACATTCTTTTCTCTACTCTGTAAAGAAAGAAAAAAAAATATATATATATATATATATATATATATATATATATATATATATATATATATATATATATATATATATATATATATATATATATATATATATATATATACTGCACAAACTACCAAATAATACTGCCCAAACTTTTTAGTGACTGGACAAATCTAAATTTTTCAATTGCCACAAATGAAATTCGGTAAACTGATTGTAGTAACAGCCTGTTAACATTGGCTCAATGACAAATAATGTGTTGAGCCAATTAAAAAAAACATTAAGTCTGGCTAATTATATTGTTGGCCCAATTTATTATTTTAAAGGGCACCTATGGTCAGGGCCGGAGTGGTCAGCTCTGGAGTTTCAAGCCTTAGACCAGCCCCCCTCAGTCTAGGACTGACTATATTAAAATAACGTTATTTCCAATTCAGTTGCAAATGACACTGCGTCTTTTTTAAGGACACAGCTGCTTTAGAACCTCAAATGTTTTTCATAAATATGAGAACATTACTTCTTTATGGATATCCAGTCCTTTGTAATGGTCGTCACACACAAAATAAATAAATAAATAAATGTACCCCTACATAAGTAACCCAAATAGTATTATATGTTTTAACACTTAAAATTAAGAAATATATTTTACTTTGGTGAGATTCGACCTGGTCTTCCCGATTAGCCAATCCGGGCCTGCCTATGGTGAAAAATCTACTTTTCAAGCTGTTTGGACAGACATATGTGTAGGTATAGTCTAGACCCTCATATTGGGGTGAAATAAACACACCCAGTCCTTTTTTTTTTTCAATTTAATAACATAAAAACGGTGGACAAATTGGAGCGGTTTTCAGAGCAACCGCAACTTGACGTAGGAGTGTGGTTCCCCCTCCCACCAATATTGATTGAAAGGCCGCATCACCATATCCTCAGTTTGTCATTTCACATACACCATTTTCAGCATGTGAGTCAAAGTGATGTTACTAAAGGAACACCCTTGCTCTATTTTTAGATGTATGGCTCACTGGGCTTAACACAAGATCAACATTCACCACATGATCGCTCTAATCAGAGTTATTGTTTGTAACTTTAGGTAGGTTTGCATACATGTGTACTTTTCACTGCGTGTACCTTAAACTTCTGCCGTTTGCATTTCATGCGGTCACAGAAGCTCCTTGTGATCTTAACTAGGTTCAGCTGAAAATTACAAGCGCGTTGCCTCACGTGCACATCTCTCAATTGGAAATAAATAACAACGTGCCGAGAAGCCCCTGTCTGCAGCCTGCAGATATGGGCGGGGATAAATGTGGGGCGGGGCTGCACATTCAGCCACGCCCACCTGTAATTTCATTGGTTAGTGGAAATGTAATAGCGTGAATGCCCACTACGTGATGTCAGTAAACAGGAAATGCATTTACAACTTCTTAAATTTTGTTTTTATTGTTAATAAACACAAAAATACACAAAAGTGGACATTCTTGCTGAGTGTTTTATATGTTAATTATGTTAAGTTATGTGAATTTCATAATGGTATTTCTCCTGCTAAAAAATATTACAAAAGACTCAAAAGACTCTTTTCACAATGGTGTCACTTAAGAAATGCAGTGATTTTAATTCTGATATTTTAATGGTTTATTATTTTGCTTCAAAATGCTATTGCATATTGCATATTTACAACAAATAAAGACGGAGTCTGAAAAAATAAATAAATAAAAATGCTGTGTTTTTAGTTCAGTTAAATTTTTTACCTTTGAATGGGAGAGTTCTCTGGAAAATTTACAATTGAAAATATTAAAATTATACTTTGATTTAAGGCTATTCAAAATATTGGCCATGTGTCCAATTGTTTCTCTTTTAATACTGCACTGCTTTGAGTTTTATTAAGAGCAGGGATAAGATATTATTTATTAAGGGAAGTATATGTTTGTAACCTTTTTACTTATTAAATCAGATTATTTCATCATATAATGGATTTATTTTTACTTTGATGCTGCTATGAATATAAACGTATATTATCTGTTATATGTAAATGTTCCAGCATGAGTAAATTGTTTTATTAATTTTTTTCATATTACATGGTGTGTCATCTATGGATGCAATCAATTTTATTATTTATTAATCCATTAAAGTTTTGTTCAGTTTCTCCATTTGAATGAAGACAGTGCTCTGCTGCCACCTACTGGGTGGTTTTAATATCTGTTCTACATTTTAATTAATAAGTTACAAATAATTTTATGATCTAATATTACTGAATTAAAATGCAGTCTTCTTGGTTTTATTTTTGTAATATTTGTAGATACAGGGTAAATACTTTAATACCACTTTCTAACAACCCTTCTGGATCCATTTCTTCACTGTAGATCTTTAAAAGTTTTTTTTGTAATGATTTTGTTTGGTTATTAAGAGTCACATACAACATTGTTATTCTATTTCATTTAATTAGAATATTAAATACACTTAATATTATATTAATAGGGTGGCACAAATGGACAGTTTTATTTATTACTTATCTATTAGGACACAAATTAATGAAAATAAATTTGACATTAATAAGTGCAGCACTCGTGTAAACTTCAAAATTTTTAATTTGACAAACGCTGATAAATATATACCAACTTCATCTTCAGTAAAAACACCAACACAAAGCAATACACTGTTGAAAGTCCCTCTTTCTCGGTTCAAGTAAAAATCTGGCAGATGTTTTTTTAGATGTCAGATGTCTCACCTACAGAACATTGTGTATGCACATGCACACATGTACAAAAGGAAGACTGACAATTTATAGAAAAAAAATTATAATTTAAGATACAGCAGTTTGTAATTATTATTACCTTTATTAAACATAAAAACAATTATATATTTTTTACAGGGAAATTACACTACAGAAGTAACAATCTGCTGAGAAATATATTGGGAAGTCATTTGTTGAACAGAATGCTTGCAGGAACCCCCTCTCGCCATACCCAACAGACAAAGCACTTTGTCAAAGTATATGGCACTCTGATCGATGACACCTAAATAAAATCAAGTACATATTTAAGCAAGACACAACCATAATTCAAAGTTTTAAAACTAACGGAGTACTGTAAAAAGTGCTTGGCATATTCTGTACTCTTTATCATACACACACACACACACACACACACACACACACACACACACACACACACACACACACACACACACACACAGCCTGCTTCTTGAATTTTGGATTACTGACAATGGCTCGGCGAGGCAGTGGCGCAGTAGGTAGTGCTGTCAACTCACAACAAGAAGGTTGCTGGGTCGCTGGTTTGAACCTCGGCTCAGTTGCCGTTTCTGTGTGGAGTTTGCATGTTCTCCCTGCCTTCGCGTGGGTTTCCTCCGGGTGCTCCGGTTTCCCCCACAGTCCAAAGACATGCGGTACAGGTGAATTGGGTAGGCTAAATTGTACGTAGTGTGTGTGAATGTGTGTGTGGATGTTTCCCAGAGATGGGTTGCGGCTGGAAGGGCATCCGCTGCATAAAAACTGGCTGGATAAGTTGGTGGTTCATTCCGCTGTGGTGACACCGGATTAATAAAGGGACAAAGCCTACAAGAAAATGAATGAATGAATGACAATGTCTCAGCAGGTCCTGGATGTCAGTGAGAGTTGCAGAAATGTCCCATCACTATCCTGTGTGACAACTCTCAGTAGGATACACTGCAGGATCTCAGGCGGCATCTGTACAAAATAACCAAAAATCATCAACATGTCGCTTAACACACAGTATATTAAAGTTAAACTCAAAGAATTAAATATGTTTGTACTAGGCATGCCCCTTTGCATAAGTTTCATTCATGGGTTATAAAGTAAACAAAAAAAAGAGAACATGAAGTGTAAATAAATATATAAAAATAAAATAAAAGCAAAAATCTATTAAAACAAAAAGAGAGAAAGAACTGAGGTAAAATAAAATAAAACAGAGAATATGCTCCACAAGAATCATAGTGATGAATATATATCAGTGCCAATGATCTGCAAACAGAATGTAGTATAGATCAGTAAGTTAAGAATCAAGTTTTATATTGTACATATTTAGCATTAACATTACCAGAATATGTAAATTAGAGAACATGCCACAAAGAAAAATATATTTTGTTATCTTTGATATCAATAAACTTCATGTGATGGACTGTGTTGCTCGACACTCTTTAAAGTTTACATTATTCTTTTAAGTGAATAAGACCACTAACTGTACGATCAACCTGGAAAACGCCAACCCTAACACAGAAAACATTTTTTAAAGGCTTTAAAACTTCATATCTCCTTAAAGGCCTTTAATTAAATAAATTACACATAATACGTAGCCCGTGAGGTGTACTGCACTATAATATAACCATTTAGGCTACATGACAGAAGACGTGTACTTACCATGCAGAGATGAAAACCGGAATCGAAAGCATACATTACATCAACGTCTATATGTTTCCGTGAACCAATGAAAGACGTGTAGGCGGAGCGACATGTTCAGTCCCGCCCACTAATGGGCGGGGCTGAATATGCAGCCCCGCCCCGTATTCAGCCCCGCCCCGATCTGCGGGCTGCAGACGGGTGTACTTGTACATTACATCAACGTCTATATGTTTCCGTGAACCAATGAAAGACTTGTAGGCGGAGCGACATGTTCAGTCCCGCCCACTAATGGGCGGGGCTGAATATGCAGCCCCGCCCCGTATTCAGCCCCGCCCCGATCTTCGGGCTGCAGACGGGTGTACTTGACCCAGATAGCAAAATACACTTGGGCCAGATGCGGCGGCAGAAGCGAGCCGACGCTGCCGTAACCGTGCACCGGAATCGGGCCGTGAGTAATGTGCGGTGTGGCCCGGAGCTGGCGCGACTAAAGTCTTCATATACCTTGATATAAAACCTTTTGTTATTAATACTGGAATTTGTAATTATCGATAATGTTTTATATTATGAGGCCATTTTCTAGCCACGGTTGACCGCGGAAATGTATTTTAGACGGTTATATACACCGCCATTTTGTGAAGAAAAATCACAGTTTTGTCACCGGCAAAGCGACTGATTATGTAAACGTGGCTAGTTACAAACGTGGCGTGTGTATGCTTGTAACTGTTACATATCTTCGTTTTAGTGTCTAAGTTATATTAATGTTGAGGAGTGTCCACAAACTCTCATGTCCAGAATTGTTGGTGCTTTACTATTGTTTAACTATACTTATGTTAATGTAGAATAATTATTAACATACCACGTTGTATAAATCGACGTTTTAAGTTATACTTTGTTCTTTTATGTAACTTAATAATTTGTCTTATCTGTTCTGAAACTGGTAACTTGAGCTATTTTACCTATTTTATTAATATCTCAAAATAAATAAATAGTTATTGCTTTATCTTATTGCTTTCCAGAAGTTTATGAAGTTTCCAATTGTATTTCAGGACAAGACTGAACAACATAATGCAGCCTAACAGCATCAGACCAATGAAGGCATGTCATACGAAAGCATGGCTCAGTTACAAGATGTAAGTATGTCTCATTATCTATACCATGGTTTTAATGGCTTGCATACTATTTTAAATTTGTAGGTTTTTACTTACAAACAACAATAAATGTACACCCACGTGTTTAAAATTATTTTCTAGGTATTCATCGAAAGATGAGAGATCAACTGAAGAATGCTATGGATCTGACTCTAAGGTACTCTTTCTAAACTTTCTCCACTTGATTATTATTATTAAATTCTAGCTTTGGATGGATTCATTCATATTTGTTTGTATGCCACATCTTATATTCCAGGAATTGATTTTACAGCAGCACTTCTCATGTTGCCAGCCTTGTTAAGCGAGACACTTCAACATTTCATTGTGCTCCGGTGCGTATGTTGTTTTCTGTTTAGTATATGCTGTGATAAATGCATTTTATAATGCTTGATATTCTTTATATTAGGATGACGCAGTGGGTAGTGCTGTCACCTTACAGCAAGAAGGTCGCTGGTTCGAGCCTCAGCTGGGTCAGTTGGCATTTGTGTGAGGAGTTTGCATATTCTTCCAGTGTTCGTGAAGGTTTCCTTCAAGTGCTCCGGTTTCCCCACAAGTCCAAAGACATGCGCTATAGCTGAATTTGGTAAGCTTATTTGTCTGTAGTGTATAAATGTGTGTGTGAATGAGTGTGTCTGGATGTTTCGTAATACTGGGTTGCAGCTAGAAGGGCATCTGCTGCATAAAACATATGCTGGATAAGTTGGTGGTTCATTCCACTGTGGCGACCCCAGATTAATAAAGGGACTAAGCCGAAAAGAAATTGAATGAATGAATGAAATTTATATTAGTCTTTTAATCTGTGATACTTTTTTTTTTTTAATCAGTGAATATTAATTATTTTACTTTCTATGCATGTTGATTTTCTCTTCATCAGTGATAGAGTGACTGATATTAATGTAATTATTGCTTTGTCATTTACAGTGAACCATCTTCACCACATCCAACAGTTCATGTACAGGAGGAGGCCACCGACTGGACAACTGTGTTAACAAGACGAGTCATGGCAGTCTTCAGAGTTGATGGGATTGCGATTGGCCGGGCTAATGATGTGGACGAATATACATTTTTGACATATCCATCTTATTAGAAGAACACCTTGATGTTTCTGCAGTGGAATGTTTTGAATGAACGGTGGACGGTGACAAGCCTGGATCTACTCCAGTTACCAGAGTGATCAACCTTGTTTTTTGTTTCTCTACATGCTCTTCGATAATCACAATCATCAAGTTAATCCAGCACACTGCTCTCATTCATGCATAAAGCAAATTTTTAAATAACTTGTGCTCCTAATGACTATCAAAGAACATTTTCCAGTTATGAGTGCCTTACATGTCATGTTTATCAAAAGCATAAACACATATTGTGTTACAACAAATTACAACTCCACTTGAGGATGATGAGGAGTAATCTACTGATGTTGAGGAAGAGGCTACTGATGTATTTGGTTTTCTGCACTGTTGAAACAATTTATAGAGAAACGTTGCCTTCATTCTGAAATTCAGAGAAAATGTTGATGACAAATTATTTATTATGACCGAGTATTCTGACTAAAGACAAATACTTTGGACTTTATAAAATGCAGTACTTGATGTAGCCTGTGTAATGTGTTTATAAATCTTAAACAGTATTCTGTAGATTATTTAGTTTTTATTTATTATCTAAATTGTTCTTTTTACTGTTTTACATGTCTGCTTTATACTTGCTGTGTAATTTTATTTCTTGACACATTCAGTTGTGAGTTGTAATGAAATATTTCTACATTAATAAATAAAAATGGACATCTGTGAACCAAAATATTTTATTTATTTATTTATGCATGCTGTCACCAAAGGATCAAAATGCCTGGGTCAGTACCCTGAAAATGCTATATAATATAAGAAGGTACATTTTTGTACCTTCGGTGGGGGTACAAAATTGTCCCTTAAAGGGTACAAATGTAGAAGGTACAATTTTGTACCTTTAAATAGAGGTACAAATTTGTACCCTTAAGGGTACCACCCCAGTGACGGGCCATTTGTACCCTAAAAGGTACAATTTTGAACCTTTTTTTCTGAGAGTGTAGATAAGAAGGCTGTGAAGCTTCATTTTGTTGGATAAGACAACAAAGCAAAAAATTATTGCATGTTTGATGAGAAAAAGAGGAGCATTCTAATTTGCTGAGATGTAATATTCAATTCAGAGTCAGATTTTGTCTGGAAACGAGTAGACATTTTTTAGAAAATACAATACAAACAAATTATGAAAAAAAAATTGTGAATGTTACTGTCAGTGAAATTTCTGAAGGTGGCAGCAGGATCAGAAAACCACTCAAAAGGTATGGATATGATTCATTTCAAATAAATGTATCTTTATTCCTATAGCGCTTTTACAATGTAGATTGTGTCAAAGCTTAACAGAAGTAAATAATGATGAGTTTGCTGACAGAGTGACTGTTGATCATTATGCTGGTGTCTGTCATGTTATGGAACCTAGCACACTGCAATGTTGAGTCCTAATGCAAAGAATAAGCAGGAGGCAGTTGTTTGGAATATGAATGCTGCTTAAAAATGAGGGCCGAGATTATATTATGACCTTAATGTCATCCCTTTTCAGAGTGAAATTGGAGTTGTGTGTGTTCTATTCGTTTGTGGAACATTTTACAGGTCTGGGGTCAGCTCTAAATAGCTCAGTGAGTGTCTGACTTTTATATGCATCATTGGAAGATACTGTTTAGAAATATGAATACACATGAACATTTTCTATGTAAATTCTATATGTTTTAACCATTCATGTTAAAAGACCTAGATGTATGACAGTTAATGACGTAAAGTGAAAGTATACTTGTTGATTTGAGACTGCGGACTGCAGTTTGCAAACTGCAAACTACCTTCAGTAAACTTTATTTAATTGAATCTCTGACTTCAGCTCTTCTTTAACTGACAGACTAGTCATTTTGGGGTTAAAACTGTTGGTTAGTCAACAATGTGAACTCAAGTTATTACCAGTGCATATTACAAGTATGCTCTGATTGGTCAATAAAAAATCCTATGGCTTGTAAACAGTAGAGGTGTAACCTCGGTGTCCTGTTCCCTCCATCGGCCCATCGTCATAGCCTCCAAAGCATCCCCATCCACTGAATTGGCTCCATAACTGTCTTACCACCCCACCTATAGATGGTGTGTGGTGAAGCACTAGCACCATTGTCCTGTGGCTGCCGTCGCATTATCCAATTGGATGCTGCACACTGATGGTGGTGTGGAGAGAACACTCACCCTCATGAATGTGAAGCAATTTGGGTGTATTGGGTGCCATACAGGATAAATGCACTACATAAATACACATTACATGATATTACGATGGCCACAAGACCTGACATAGCACAAGCATTGAGTGTTGTATCAAAGTTCAACACCAATCCAAGTTCTGCACACTTGATGGCAGTCTTTGTAACTTATTAAATAAAAGGTAGCACAGATATCAAAATAAAAACATAGTAAGCACTGTCTTAATTCATCCAAACACAAAAAAAATTAATGAAGCATGTGAGAATAAATAAGTAAAATAATAGTGAAAAAGACTGCATTTATAGATGACATACAAGTTGTATTATGAGATTTTTATAAAGAATTTTACTTGTGCTGTAACATTTACATGTAATAGATAATGTAAATTTATATTTACAGCAGCAATAAAATAAAAATAAATTCATGATTGAGGAAAGACTGAAATAATGATGAAAAGCTTGTAAATATATACTTTTCTTATTAAACAAGTTTATTCCTATTCTTAATAACTTGAGAAAACGTAATAATTTTCAAACTCAGAAAGCAGTTCATTATTGAAAAATAAACATTTGCACAATGCCCAATAAGTTAATCTTAATATTTTAAATTTGTTGTGAATTTTCCAGAGAAGTATTGCATTTAAAGGTAAAAACCGAGACACCAATAAACTGTGTTGTGGAAAGGCAGAAGTGACATCATTGTGAAAAAGAATTCTGGGAAAAGACATTCTATCGGTAGCATCATTTTTCTTAAATTGGATATATCATTTAAAAAAACTTTTTTCTATCCCAGCATCTTGGCTAAATGTACCCACCAGCTTCTGTCCAACAAGGCCTCCTAACCATTCCTATATCATAATTGGCTTCATCAATCTCTCCTCTTCATCAATAAGCTGACGTGTAGTGTGTGGTCTGGCACAGAATGGCTGCATGCCATCCAGACATTGTTGGTGGTTGAGGAAACTCCCACAAAATCTGTAATTTGAGTGTCCAGAAAATATATAGATGTAATAAACTATTTTTCTGCTTCACTTGGCCATTAAAAAAAATCCACTGGTCACAATTGTTTAAAAATATTTTATAACTGGGAAAAAAAAGTTTAAATCTGCAAAATTCTTGGCAAAGAGATTTGCTTACTGAGTCTGAATAATAATAATAATAATAATAATAATAATAATAATAATAATAATACACATTTAAATACATTAAAAAAAAATTTCTCCACATTCTCAGAGTACTGATAATCTACCAATTTAAATGTTTGATACAAAAGCAAATATTATAAAGAATAATTAAGATTTAACATAAAAATAATGTTCTCTCAATAGAAATGATAGAAGTGAATCAGAGATACACGAGTTGCACACACTTAAGTCTATCTCATCTCACTCAAGAGAAACTTGTATTTGATGCACAAAAATTTCTTGACCATTTCCACAATCAATTTAAAAGTGAACCACTAGTTATATATTACACTAATAGTCTGAACAATGGTATCTTTACACTAGTCCCATAACCTTGAGGAGCAATCTTTTTCAAGAATTCTCTAGAATCTGTTCTCATTTTACCAGTAATATCAATCCATGAATTTTAGCTGAGGTCACATATTGCCTATCCTGATGTTGGGATTCAGCAAAGGATCCAGATTTGGATCTGTTTCAGCAGAGGCCCGACCCAATTTGGCCATGATGATGATGAGGGTGAAGAAACCGATCACTCCAAACAGCAGCAACAAGAAGATTCGATGTTTCAGTGCGAGTGTCTTTTTCTTAGTGCTAGTACAATTCCTAGGAAAATAAATGAATGCAAAAAATTAAATATTATAGAAAGACACTATACTATTACTTAAATAAATTGGCTAAATTAAATCAGTACATTTGGCAAGCTAGTAATTTTAAAAATGCATTGTACTGGAATTACACATTACTTTTATAAAATAGCTTCTGAGAAAATTGCACAATTACAGGTTTAGCCATAGACGGCATTTATGAGAAACAAATAATTTTCAGCAATAGACATAGGACACTCACTTTAGCACCTGTGCAAACCAGTTAAGTGCAGGCCGTCTGCGGTATTTATCATCATCAAAATCAATCTGCATGACTGCACTGTGTCCTAAATCACGTGTGTCATACAGCTTCCTTGGGGAAGTAACTGTAAAAAAAAAAAAAGACAATTTTAAGAAAAATAATATGTTAGAGACTATAGTTTATAATATGTTTTTTTTTTTTTTTTTTTTTGTGTACATAGAACACACTATCTGAGATATTGTATTCCTAATGCAAATACAATTGCATACTATTTCCAGACAAAAACAGACACCTGACCAGTGTTGGGCACCTTCCATTAAAATAGTAATTAGTAATAGTTACTAGTTATTTCTCACAAATAGTAACCAAGTTAGTAACTGAGTTACATAAATTTAAAAGAAACTAATTTCCAGGGAAAAATAACTATTGCATTACTTTAAAATAAATCACTTTAATGTTGTTGTGAAACAAAAGCAGATATCATGTCAAATTTAAGACCTTTTTAAGACCATTAAGTATTAAAGTTAAGACCTATATCATAATATCAAAAACACGTGAGAGAAAATGCAAAAATCACAAAATTTGTGAAAAAATAAATTTATTTAAATTGAACAGTACTAAAGACAGGTTAGATGCACCATTGAACTACATTAAAAAAATTTAATAATAAAATAAAATAAAAAAACATCTTAAGGCTGATTTATATTTTCGCCCGGCCGCACATCGCACACCTCCGATGACTGCGCGCGCACCTCATGAAATGGGCGAGGCTTTTATACTTGACGCATTCGCCATTGGGATATTAATTAAAACAACAGGGGGCTGTCAAAAGAAACCCAAAATAAAGTCAAACGCATAAACAGTAGCAGGAGTTTCCGGAACTACTTCATATAATTAATATCTTTCAATATTTTTAAACTAAATATTTTTATTATTTTTATAATTTATTATTATGATTATAAAGTTTTATAACAATTCAAGATTTTTTAAATCAAACTTTGATGATCACTTGTTGTTTTTTTACTATCTTGGACAGTTCTACCTATTAAAGTTAAATATCAATGACAAGAGAACATGGATTGCTATACAATTATATTTTTTTATTATTATAAGAATAAAAGAAAAAAAATACTTACTGAAAATACTGACTTTTTTTAAATTTGCCGACTCAACAATTCACACATTACTGCCTGGCTAGTTTCTGTTCTCTACTTATAAGCTAAAACGGCAATAATAGTCTAACAATCCTGTCCATTATCACCAATAAAGCCAAGAATTTGGGCATCATATTGTAAACTGATAGGTTCAAATATCCTTTTCCAGTTATCAAAGAAATAATGTCACTTAATTGTAGTTTGTAGCTATTACATTATTTTAACTTCAAAATTTTAATATATACATCAGTTTAAAACTTATAAATGGTGGAAACACATATTCTGTATTATTAAACCACATGGGTCTCCACTTTTGCCATGGCATCTTTTATTTATTTTTATTTTTTAACAAACTTATCCCTCAGGTTTTTCCAAATTTACAAAACTGTCCTCCTTTCCCACAGCTGTTGCAATTTCTAGATTTATTGGTCATCTGGTTATCTCTATGATGGAAAGATCATAAAGATGTCTGTACAGTCATACCCATTTCAGACAAAATCTCTTCTAAGTGATTCATATTCAATTTAAATCAAATGCGGTGCCGCACAACTGTTCAACCGAAATCTGTTCACTACATTTAAAATTAAAATTATGTTGAGCGCACAGGATGTGAACCTCCCCAAACACAGCGTTGACGTCACATTAGCCGCATGTACTGGGCTAAATAACAGAAAGCTGATTGGCTATTGCAAGTTGGTCTCATTTGTAGTTGTAACAAGTTACATTTGGACTAGTGAAATAAAAAACACCTTGAAAACCAAGCAACAACAACAAAAAAAGAATTTAAATGAGCATTAGAGGTAGCGTTACATGGACATTAGGAAAGTAAGACCTGTGCAAAAATATTAAAGACCTAGAACAGCGAATTAAAGACTTTTTAAGGCCTAAAATTTAGTTTTTTTAATTTTAGACTTTTTTTTTCTTTCAAGACCCCCCTAAAACCCTGCTTCATATGAGACACAGTCATACACTTGTACTGCATGTCTTTGGACTGTGGGGGAAACCGGAGCACCCGGAGGAATCCCACGTGAACACCAGGAGAACATGCAAACTCCATGCAGAAATGTCTCGAAGTAGCAACCTTCTTGCTGTGAGGCGACTGTGCTACCCACTGCGCCACCATGTCGAGCTATAGTTGCACAACAAAACACAATAGATGGTTTATAATTTATAGATATAAGCAATTATTTTGTTAAATTCTGTCTAAGTAATAAGTGTTTGCAGTGGAGCAAAATTAAGTTTAAGTTGCTTTGATGTCATGGCTTTGTCTCCTCATTAGGTAGCAGAGCTCACGTTATCACCTGCGTTCTTACTGTGAGTTCACACCGAAGGCGGTGAGAGCGTCAAAGGTCGCCCTGGCGGCCCTGTCGACAGCGCTGTCTGCCTTCACAGCTCCAGCAGCAAGAGTGTCAAAGTTCACTATATTGATCTCGTATTTAAAGGAGCCGTTACCACATATCAGCAAATCAGTTAGATTCCCGCATAAAACATGCTTTCTACATAAAACATTCTTTCTGAAAATGTTGCACACTTTTTATCAAATTCATTTAACAAGGGAAGATTTAGTTGAATGTGGTGTGGCTTTGCTCCACTTAATTATCCAATTTGTCCATATGTCTGAAATATTCTGAAGCAGCAATCCTGTTTTGTATTGTCGCATGAGCAAAAAAAAAAAAAAAAAAAAAAAAAAAAAAAATTATATATATATAACTCGCCAGTAACTTTTTTTTACGTTTGTTCCTGAAAGAAAACATTGTAAATAACTGGATATCCGGCGACCACAATAATCAAACCCTTGGGAACAACTGTGGTAGGAACCAAAGTTCACAGTGACTGTGATCTCTGGACTCTTAAGCGGTGGACTTCTACATTCCGATTGCTTGTCGCCGAACCACGTCATGGCTCCATAAAAATGACATGATTTCAACCCTCCTCGATGCCAACACTGGCGAAGATGCATTGTGCTGCTCTTCACCACCAGCTCAAGTTTAAAAATTACTAAAAAAGTTACTTTTAAAATTACTAAAATTACAGATGCCGAGAGACTCTTTTTTTTCCTGGGCATAAGTTGCACAATGCATAAACATTATTGCCTTTCACCTCAATGAGGGAAAAGTAGTGCTACTTCTAGTTTGCAAAAGCTACTTTTGAACTTGTTGGATTTGTCATCGTTCTGACTCCTGGTATTGGTGTATGCGACTGACTCTGCGTGTGCTTGTGTGTGAACACCCGTGCTATTCTGCCTCTAATTGGCTAATAATGGAAATGTACTCTGAGCCAATCATCACATTCTCAGTTACACCACTTTCACAGACACACCAATCATCATCACTGGTTGGTTTTTGTGTCCCGCAGCCCAAACACACACAGACATACACCCCAGAAAAAGAGGTCCTATGGCAGGCTAAGTGAGATGCGGCTTGCATAAAAACGGATTCAGTGTTCTCAATTAGTAGTAACATGCATTTTATTGTCAGTAACTGTAATCGCCTTCTTACGGGGAAAACTTATAACATCTACAGTTATTCAATTGATTACTCATTATTAAAAAATAAATAAATAATAATGATGTTAATAAGCTAAACAAAGCGAGAGAGAGCGAGAGAAAGAGAGAGAGATAGAGATAGATAGATAGAGAGAGAGAGAGAGAAAGAGAGAGAGAGAGAGAGAGAAAGAGAGAGAGAGGAGTAGAAAGCCTACATGCAGTGTTCTACTCATGCACATTGAGAAACGATCTGTTAAATTTTGGAAACACATTAAAATGAGTGACCCCAACTCTTTTCATTTTAAAGTCCTCAAAAACCGAAGAAATGGAGATTGAAAAAAAAAAAACCCTGATTCAGATGGTCCTGAAGCTGCAAACAAAAACCAACACAACAAATATGACTAACAGCAAGCAGCATCAGGACAAGGACATGCTCATCCACAAAATTAAGCCTAATCAAATATTAAATGCACAAAAAGAAGAGTATCTGATTTACTGGAATGAAGCAGCCGGAAAAAAAAGGTAAACTTTAATGTTATTTAGACCTAAACAGGGATTATACGACAGCAACATATCTGAATGCAGTAAAGGACAGTAAACTAAGAACAACAATGACCAGATACAGGCTGAGTGCTCACAGTCTGACTGTAGAGACGAGCCGATACAGACAGAACTGGCAACCTCGAGAGCTACGCATCTGCCCACACTGTGCCCAGGTAGAGGTGGAGATGGAGGAACACTTCCTGACCCGCTGCACTATCAGCACATCCGAGAAACATTCTACACCAAACTACAGAGCATTTACCCACAATTCACTAAGTTAGACAATAAAACACAGCTTCAATATTTACTAGGGGAAAAAAAAATGAGTGTCCTTCTAGCAGCCCAATACATTAATGCCCGTCACAAAAAGAGAGAACAACACCAATAAAAACATTAGTGATGCGCCTGCAAACACACACACACACACACACACTGACGATTATATATGAATCATTGTAAATATACTGATTATTATTGTTTTTATTACCGTTTTATCCTAAAAATGTACAGTTTTTCAGATCTATTTTTGTATTGATTTGAATGAATAATTAATGTTGAATAATATAGTATATTGAATATTTATGTGATTTATTTAATAATATGATGTATTGTTGATATTTTTTTATTTTATATAAATATCATCTTTTTTTTATTTTTTACTACTACTATTTACTATGTGTACAGTTTTTTTATTATTATATATGTATGTTACTTTTTATGTAAACTTTATAACTGCTTTGGCAATACATTTGTAATAATTGTCATGCCAATAAAGCAATTATTGAATTGTATTGAATTGAATTGAGAGAGAGAGAGAGAGAGGGAGAGAGAGAGATTCTTCTGAGACTCCATTGACTGCACAACAGTTAAGACATTTCCAAGTATTAAAACATTTTTACTAAACTGATGTTTAGATTATGTGTAGGCCTCTGTATTCTGTTATATATCATTTTTACATATAACTGATACAAATATATATTTATAATTGTAAAAAGTTATTATTAATTATTCATAATTCCCTATGAGCTTATTTTGCCAAAAAAAAAAAAATCTGAATTAAATTTACTTACGTCAACACAAATATTTTTCAAGTAGCGATCTCAAGCTTGGTGTCAACAGAAGTTTAAGTGAATTGTGCCTCTTATGAGATGTAAACCAAAATATGCTTATTACATTTTGTTTGATTTGTGGTTTGCTGCAAATATCTCACATTCTGGTGCCATTGCATCACAATAAATATTATTATTATTATTACAGTGTAGTATAACTTTTAAAATAATTTGAAGCAAAAATTACATGTTATGCAGTTTACAGTTTTATGCAATTTACATGTTACATGTAAGGCAAGAACATAACAGTGCTGGTTACCTGTACTAATGGTGACTGTGTCTGTGGCAGAGGTGGTGACCATATTGAAGACAGTGTTATTTGGGGCACTCTGTTCTCTATTATTATAGATGTGCTCCCCATCCTGATGGGGTGGTAGACTGGTGAGTGTGGGATTTGACATCGAGACATCCACTGAAGTAGCTACAATACAGAAAATATGAAATCAGGTTCTGCAGAATATTGTATTTGTTTAGTAATATATTATAATTCAAAGGAGAGAACTTTCCTTCCATTATCTTTTGTTTCTTACAAACGTTGTGAACAATGAGAGCTAATATAAATTAACCATGTAAGGCTTGAAGAACACATATATGATAAAAAGGGCATGCTAAATGTGTAGGACCCTAGTCAGCAGCTATAAATAAATGAAAGCTATTCATAAGACTTTAACAGTTCATGATGTATAAGATAAACCACACTGTGTCTAAAACAGGAGACATACATAAAATCCTGTGGACCACATATGTGATGGACAATAGAAATTCTAGAATTGCCTCTGCAAAAATTGTTTTAAGGAACAGTTTGGGTACCCCTCTGTGGCTGGATAGAGAGAGAGCGGCTACAAGAGAAGATCACATCGATATGCCATTCAGTTTCGGTCATGCTTTTCATACAGTAATACATAGTGTAGTGATAGTGGGATGTGTAAAATGATCCCTTTTGTGTGGAATTCAAAACCTATAATCACCTAATTCTGACTGATTACAACACAGAATTGATTTGAGTTAGTCAGTGAACATCTTAACAATCCTAACACATGTGCAACCAATCATGAAAAAGGATATTTAAGATAGCCAATTGTTAGTTTTGCTTCTCCTTATTGTGAACCAGTAAGTAGTAACATAAGAACCTCAAAATAACTTCTCAATTATCTAAAATTAGAATAATTTTTTCAGCATGAATTAGGAGGATACAAATAGCCACCACAAAGGTTTAACGTCTCTATCTTCACATTCAGAAATATATTAACAGAATGGAAGGCCACAGAAACAGTTCTTGTGAAGAAAATATCTGAATGGCAAAGGTAAGCAATGGTTAGAATGGCCACAAACTACAGACCACCTCAAAAAAGGTCCAGGAACATCTTGCTGGTGATAATGTCATTGTGAAGAGTGCCTTGGACTGTGGAACTATGTACAAAGAACAGCTTAAAGAAAGGGTGATGCAGAAAAAGCCTTAACTGCATTCTGCCAACAAGAAAATTTGTTTGAGGTATGCAAAGGCCCATCTGGACAAGCCAAAATCATTTTGGAAAAATGAACTGTAGGGAGACGCCACAACCATAGACACTTTGCATGACAGAAAAAAAATGCTCCCTATTGTAAAATATGCTGTGGGGATATGTGGCAAGCAGTTACTGGAAACCTTATAAGAGTTGAATGTCTCATGGATTCCACCTAGTATCAGCAAATAATTAGGGACAAAGTTGCATGTTTCAGCAGGACAATGACCCAAAGCACAGTTCCAGATCTACCAGGGAATTCATGCTAAGACATGATACAATGTTCTAGAGTGGCCATCCCTGTCCCCAGAGTTGAAAATCGTCAAAAATCTATAGATTGACTTGAAAAGGGCCATTCATGCTCAGCACACATCAAACATGACTGAGCTGGAGAAATTTTGCTAGGAAGAATGGTCCAAAATGCCTTTAGCAAGAATTCAGGGACTTATGCTTGACTATAAAAAGTGTCTACAGGGTGTTTTGTTCACCAAAGGTGCCTGTACATTGATATCAGTATTCTGTTGGGGAGTCCGACTTTTTGCACTTGTCTGTTTTTGTTCTGACTTAAATTGCACTGCAACTGTTGATTAAATAAATGTTATGTCAGAAAACATTCTCACGTTAATTTCATCTTAGTAAATCCAAACGCGGGCGTGAAATCTACCGTACACAAAGTTTCTGTGTGTACACAACGTTGATACATGAGGCTCTTGATGACTGTGGAGGCCATTTGAGTAAAGTGAATTCATTGTCATGTTCAAGAAACCAGTCTTATATGATTCACACTTTATGACAAGGTGTGCTATCCTGCTGAAAGTAGCCATCAGAAGATGGGTACATTGTAGTCATGAAGGGATGGACATGGTCAGCAATACTCAGGTAGGCTGTATCTATTGTCCAACTTTGGTAAGCCTGTACGAATTGTAGCCTCAGTTTCCTGTTCTTAGCTGACAGGAGTGGCAACCGGTGTGGCCTTCTGCTGCTGTAGCCCATCAGCACAAGGTTCGACGTGGTGTGCATTCAGACATGCTCTATTGCATACATTGGTTGTAATGAGTGGTTATTTGAGTTACTGTTGCCTTTCTATCAGCTTGAACCAGTCTGGCCATTCTCCTCTGACCTCTGGCATCAAAAAGGCATTTAAACCCATAGAACTGCCACTCACTGGATAGTTTCTCTTTTTTCTGACCATTCTTAGTAAACCCTAGGTCATGCATGAAAATACAGAAGATCAGCAGTTTCTAAAATACTCAAACCAACCTGTCTGGCACCAACAACCATGCCACTTATCTCCCCAAAAATCACTAATAATTCTTCCCCATTTTAATGCTCAGTGAAAACTGCAGCAGATCATCTCGAGTTGCTGCCATTTGATTGGCTGATTAGAAATTTGTGTTAACAAGCAGTTGGTAGCAGTTGCCAGTGAGAGTGTATTCACATTTCTTCACGATGGACGTTCAGCATTCTCCAGCATTCGGTACCTAGACTGCAGCTCTGCACAAGACGTTTGGCCAGAGGAAAAATGGTCCTGCCCAACTGAGCCTGCTTTCTCTCTAGGTTTTTTTTTTCCTTCACTTTAATCAATTGGTGAGGTTTGTTCCTCATCGCTGTCGCCAATGACTTGCATGGTTCTGGACAGGTGGAGCTGCGCATTGATGGATTTGCTCTTAAGTGTTTGGACAGCAGTGAAAATCTAACCACACTAAACTGAACTTAAACTCTGAAACTGAACTGTCACAGTTTCAATCTATTATAATCTAAATTAAAAAAATGATAATATTGCTGATTTGAAAGGCTAGTAGGCTATGGCTTGCAATTATTTAAAAAAATTATCAGGGGTCCCCAAACTTTTGCATAAAACTGTAACTCTTCGTAAATTTTTGAAATAATCTTTATTGAATGAACAACAAATTCTTACTTAGCAATTTATTATGATCCAAAATATTCCACCACCATGTACACATTTTGTACTGTTGTGTTTTACAGTTTTCTAGAGAAATGTTATGCTTGCTGTGGAGCGAAGTTACTGCTTGTATAGCAAAGGCAGAAAACCATTATTTGCATCATAGACTTGTTTTCTGAAAATATAATTATGACAAACTCACTCTCAAAAGTTGACCATTCAGAGAAAGAAGTACCACTATGTGTCGTAGTTTCCTCCTCTTCAGGGTCTTCAATCTAGGCAAAAAAAGTAATGATAAATTGGAAATGAATGGCTAATTTGGTGTTAACATTTAATATTGAAAAACAAATGTCCTGAAATGTCATACTCGTACGGATAATCTAAAACACATAGTCTTGTTGTGAATACTTTTTTCTTAGATCTTCTGAGGCCTGTTGGATAAAACAGGTTGAACAAACTCCATGTTGACAGAATTTCGTATTGACAAACCAAACAAATACAACCTAGTTAAGATCAGGGGCCGGTTCCATGGAATAAAACATGAATATATGGAATGAAACGTGAATTTATGGAATGAAACATAACTATATGGAATAAAAGTTTGAATATATGGAATTAAACTTGAACATATAGAATGAATTTCTGATCATGGGCTCAGTGGTTAAAATGATTGCAAATGTGTATGGGTGTTTTCCAGTGTTGGATTGCAGCTGGAAAAGATTTAGCCAAAAAAGAAAATGAATGAATGAATTTCTGATCACCAGAGCCATAGTGTGTTATTCATTTTCATACAAAGTTTCATACAAATTTTTTCACACAAAATTTAGTAGCAATTTAACACCCTGGCTATAATGCATGATGGTCCAGGTATCATGCAATCATTTGATTTGGTCTGGAAAATGAAACATGAAAAAAAAGGAAATATTTACTTTAAGTTATATCCTACTCTCATTAAATGTGGACTATTAGTTGTGACATTAGTAATCATAAAAGGAGTGCTGTGTGTGATTCAGTTACTAACTAAAATGGTTTGTCTCCTAAGCCTTGTTAAAGTCCAAAAAATCTTAATGTGTGGGGAAAAGAAAAGCTAGCAGATTTTTTTGGAGTAACATGATACAACTAACAGATTATTTTGGAGTAACATGATATAAATCTGAATCAAACTTCTAGCACAATGCCATCAGTCATGTTTACAGATCGCATTGGTGGGATTTTTGCCCTGACAGGCTATTTGTTTTTACTAGCCTAAAGTGCTCTTAATAAATTAATTAAATTGGAGAGCACAAAATACAATTAAAATCCCCTGTCCTATAGACTATACAACATGCTATCAACACAACACACTTTCGATTGTAACCTTTTCAACAGTAACCTGAGAATCTCGTTCTTGCTATGATATAGCCTACTCTGCAATGGTCTCAGATGAGCATTATTTTTATTTTTTTGTGGATGAACAATGTGTTAAGTTGGGGCTTGAGTAAGCATGAGGCTCCGGCAGAATTTTTGTTTTTCCTCCCTATACTCCAACACTTGGTTGCACAAATAGTAGCATATCAGCATAAAGCCATCTGTGCATTCGTTTAGGTAATTTTTTTTTTGCTTCAAAACCAGCTAAATCCACTTCTGCTTTTTATGCAAAACCTTCTAAATCCACCTATTGAGACAAGACATTGTAATTAGTTGAAAATCACTAAAAATGGAATTAGAGATTATTTTACCAAACATAAAACACAAACACAAACCACCTGAAATTAAAAATACATCTGTCAAGTAAGTGGCGGTTCATTCTGCTGTGGTAATCCCTGATAAACCAGGGAATAAGCAGAAGGAAAATGAATGAATGAAATCTGTCAAAGTGCATTAATCAATAACATTAAAATTGACAAATTAAATATTAACAATCTATTGTCATTTCTAATATTTGGAATTTGGATTTAATGCAAGTGGAGCAATGCAAACAAGCTTGTTAGATTCAAAAAATGTAGTGTAAAACATTGTGAAACATTATTATCTGTGCATTGTCCATTACTAAAAAAAATGAAATAATTTATTGAAGTAATATAAATAATGTTTATGTTTATACATTATATTTATCTTTTAAAACACAGCATGCATTAGCAAATAAAACACAAGGTAGACCTACTGTGCAAAAAAGAGGATGTCTTTATTCATCCTCACTATACTCAAAATCTTGGTCTCTTTTTTGTCTCGTTTATCCTCATAGCATCCAAGCTCATCAAGATAATGCAAAGCAGTAATGAAAGCAAAAGGTGGCTACTTTGAACCTAGAATGTGACATATTTTCAGTTATTTCACACTTTTTTGTTATGTATGCAACTTCCTATGTGTTAATTCATAGTTTTGATGCCTTCAGTGTGAATCTACAGTTTTTATAGTCATGAAAATAAAGAAAACTTTATTTTCATGTGTGTCCAAACATTTGGTCTGTGTGTGTGTGTGTGTATATATATATATATATATATATATATATATATATATATATATATATATATATATATATATATATATATAAAATTTAAATAACAGCCACAACTAGTTTTTTCATTTTCATAAAAGCGAAAGCAACCATGTGACTAAGCACTGTTATGCCGCTTTCTCATATAGGGGTGCTAAATATAGGTACATGTCACGGCATCCTTATTTATCTAGAGGTCATATCATGCGGGCCTCTGGGTAAATTTTATTTGAAAGTAAAATTACAAAAATGTAGCGTTATTATTGAAAATGATTAGAGGCAAAATAAATAATATTTCAAATATCTCTGTACATAACAGAAAAATCAACAAAAATGATGCAACAATAAAAGTGCATTTGTATTACAGTGGCAGAAATATATTTTTGGACAGGTCATGTCAAAAGTAAGCGGGCACTTTCATTAATAAAAAATATAGCATTTAAATGATTTCATTTTTAACAATCAAATTACAGCGGTTTTATATCAAAAGTTGATAATTATTGATTGATATAACTGGAATAACTACAGCAGTCGCGATCGTCTGATCTTATATGAAGCATGAGATCGTGATGACATATGATGATGTGTGCAAGTGCTGTAGTGGTGTTCCAGTTCTTAGGGGTAAATTTTAAAGCCCTTTCCCTTTACACTCTGGTTTTAAGGTTCAAGGGTAAGGGGTAGGGGTACAAAAATAGAATTGGAATTGGGCCTTAGATTTGCACACATTACTAACTGAAACTTAATTGGAAAGCTATGTCCTCCTGGACATTATTAAATAGGTGCCCGATCAAGTCTGGCTATACAGGGGATTACCGTGTTTGATAGGGTAATCGATTCTGATTATCAAGATGATGGTTCGCCTAAACCAGCAGAAATAATAGCAATAGGACAAGATAACACTGTTGCAGTGATGGAAGCAGGAGAGAAGAAATGGTTAACTGTTTCTGCCAATAAATGCTCTCTGAGAGAATTATAACAACATTTGCTAGGTCTTTCTTGTGTGCAAGAATATTTAGAGATGACTCTTACTGGGGCCTTATAGGGGAGAATGGAGCCAAAACAATCAAATCCACAATTGTTGGGCCACATCCTTTGGGTGCACACCAGGATAAATTGCAAACACTTTCTTTTGAGCTGAGGGAAACCATTTAAATAAACCACAGGAATACTGATAAGATATTCCATTGTTCCTGGGCTTCAAAACTTAAAAATCATTCTTACATCTGAACTATCATGAAAATGATCTAGTTGTTTTCCTGCAGTAACTGGATTATGCTGAATTGTTAGACTTTTGGCCTGGATGCCAGGAACAGAATTAAAGCTAACAGATGTTGCATATCCCAGAGTACAGGACAATGTTATCTGTGAAGCTAATGATTCATGTATAATCTGTATATTATGGGCAACCAGGGGTTGCATGGTATACCAACCTCATCTTTGTATATTGAAGAAATGTAACAGATAGATATTAGATTGTCCAACAGATTTATCTATGATAATGGAAATGGATGTGTCATCATTATCTAGAAAATTACTTCAGAGGGGAATGTGACGGGCAGAAAATTACTGGATCACAAAACCTACCCACTCACAATCCCTGGCCTTTTGCACTGTTCAATTCTACAGAGATTTACAATGAAACCACATTTCACCTAATAATACTATGGGTCCATAAGCCACAACATTTAGATTGACATATTGTACCAATACCGCACACCTGCATATCCGATGCACATGCTGTTAAATACACCACTGCATACTGGGCAGGGCTCGACAATAAGAATGCTCGATGGCCCGGGACCACCGTGAGATGGTCAGGACAGGATGGTTTAATTTGGGTCTGACTGTCTAAAACAGTCTTAAAGGGCACACTTAATATCACATGATGCTTTGTGTTGCGGCAAAAATATGAACAGTGCCATGCATTTTAGAATTGTAAACATAGCCTATAAATTTCTATCAGGGTACGCAAACTGGCACAGCATAAAATTGTTGCTGTGCAATCTTTTTTTTCTGCAAAATGTTCATTGTATGAGCGGATTTAGGAGACATTCCCAAAGAATGCATCTTTGCACCCAAAAAAAAAAAAAAAACGCAAACCGCAGCGCTCAGGAATGGTTTAAAACAGTTGTCATGTCAACTCGCTGTAGTAAACAAAGCCCGCAATGCACACTCCACCTTCAAGCTCTTATTGGCCCACTGCTCAAGAACAGAATGCAAATTAATTGGGTAATATCAGATGTCAATCACTCACTTCAGATGACAAAGAGCTACAGCCAGGAGCCACAGGCATGTAAAGGTCAGAATATGAGAGCATGAATATAACGCTGACAGATTTAGTTTTTTTAAACCACCTAAAGTTACAAAAATTGCACATCTTATTAGTGATTGTGGTTGATTTTTTTGAAAAGTGAATAAAAGACTTCCGGTGGGTCAAAGTCTGCTATAAAAATGACTAAAGCTATTTACCTTAAGGTCTGAGGGACGATATTGTCAGTCATGCAACTGTTGTACATACACCATTGCAAAAGAGCATGTATTCACTAAGATTAAACTAATACTGCAGCTCATGAAAGTTACTGCAGTTACTGCTATTAAGACGATGTATGCAAATAATAAGTTATATGTCAATATTATTTGTGCTATATCAGACACAACCCGTGAGAACAGCAAAGTTATTGTTAACTCAGTTCATCTCATTGAAGTCAATCAGTGCGTGCAGGGTCAGTGAGCGCATGCAGATTTTTGTTTGTTTCTGTTAAATATGTTCATGTAAAACTTGTAGTAACAGTGCTCATA